CACCAAGTATCGTGTCGGGATTCAATATTTCGACATTAATTGTGTCATCATCATTCCTGATGATGACATAATTAATGTCGAAATATTGAATCCCGACACGATGGCGTGCATTTCGAGTATGTATTATACTATCTTATACATATATATATAGATATATGTATGTACACAAATACATAAATAGCAATAACAGTGCTAATTACATTCACTTACCTGACGTCATTGGGCTTTCTTTTGTCGTAATTTCTTGTAAATGTTGAGATTATTAAAACAGCTTGAAGCAGCACACTAGCTGTATATAATGTGTATATAATATGGCTACTAAGTAAATGTGGTTGTTATGAACGAACCTGACTTGAGTATATTGCTTTGAATTTGTATAATGGAGCGAAAATGGCACAATGCTGAAGTATATCGAATGACCTAACTCTGTTAACGTGCATTCCCCAAGGTTCGTTGTTCCGTCACCATAGTAACTTTTCTTTAAATTAGGCAGTGCATGGTAATATGTTCATAGCGCAATACATGATGTTGACATGGTGACAATATGAACTAATTTCTTTGCTATAATACACTAAAATCCATAAAACGAACAACAATAATTAGTGCTTTGAGCGGTTTTTATAACGAGTTTTTAAAAGGAAACGTTAGACTTTTACATAGGACCTAGGACTATTTAATATTTTGTAAAAATAGCTGTTTAACGTTTTTGTCTTCTTTTAACGGAAGTATCATTAAAGTACCAAGATCAGTACAGTATTGTGATTGCTTTCCACATTATCATTAAACCATGGACCTATATTAAACTCAGCAGAGACTTAAAATACTTTTCAAAAATGTCCCTTGTATCATCCAAAATTTCTAAATAAAAAAATCTTAAACCAGCAATTGCTGAAAAACAAACGAATACGTCTGAAAGATATGTATAATATATCTATAAAATAAAAACATACAATGAAGGTTCTATGACATCTGGCATGTTTCCAGTAAACACAATGTACAAACAAATATATAAATAAAAATGGATGGATCTCGGTAAAGATACATATTTTGTTTTAGATTGTGTATATTTAGAACGCATATACTTACAGTTTGCATTTGCTCTCAAGTTAGCTGTTTATTTTATCGACTTTTCCATCGTATGCAGTATAGACCCATTGTTTTACACACGGCCAGAACGTCAGGCAAATTTACCTTATTCTATTTGACATTATGAGCACCACTGATTATGATATTATTTTACCATTATCTACCTTTGTTAATGAAGCTTTTCTTCTAAGAAGAACTGCAGTGTTCTAATAAAGGAAATGATAATACATCATGTAGCATAAGTCTCAACGAATTTAAATAATAAATAAAAGAAATTGTATAATAAAATGCCTCTGAAGGGATTCAAATCTCAGACCTCTCGCTGTCAAGGCGAGCGTCATAACCACTAGACCACAGAGGTCTAACGAACTGATAAAGTACGCAGGCGATGATCTGTATGAAGTTTAATGATATATTCAATACTTGTTTTGAAACTGGTAAATATTTAGATTGTATTGGCAAAGGTATATTAACACTAATACAAAAGCCAAACAAGCATAAAGGTCCAATGAAAAAATTAAGACCTAGCCTATTATTTTAAGTAACTCCATTCGTAAATTTTGTTCTTTGATAACTTTGAAACGCAGAGCGCGATATTGACAAATATACTGGTTCATGGCAATCAGCCTACAGGTCGTAGTTTCTCGGATATTATTTGGTTTCAGCGTATGTTAATAGGCCTATCTGTTGTATTAAATAATAATTGGAAATTCTACAAAATTTTTATAGACATGACCTCAGCTTTTGATACTATCAACCGTACTACAGTTCTGAGTTTGTTGAAAGGATGCAGGTTGTCCAACTGATTGAATAAGTTTAGTGCGTTTTTTGTTGTCGAACACAAAACTAAAAGTTAGATTGAATGCATCATATTCCATTGAATTTGAAAGTACAGTAGGGTAATTTCAAAATGACAGCCTTTCTGGTAATTTGTTTGTACTTACCCTTGCTAGTGCTTTAAATCACTTAAGAGTAGTTTTGCCATACAAGGCCTAAATCCGTCAATTTCTATGTACGGTATGCCTCTTAAATTCGGTGTAAATGATGTAAATTGATGTAAATTGTATAGATCAGGGGCGGATTTGGGGGGGGGGGGGAGGGGCTATAACCCCCCCACTTATATCACCAAAAAAAAAAAAAAAAAATTTTTTTCATGCATGTTATCAAAGACTATGTTTGAGATGTCCGTGGAAGAGGCACTAAAACCCACAGCTGTGAGTAGATGAATTATTACTAATTCAATGTCATAGTTGCATATTGCAGGTACCCTGTATTAATTTGTTACTGAAAACTACCATGCTAGATAGTCAAAATCGACTCAATACAACCTAATATTCCTCAAATGTGCTGGGCTTCAAGGGGGCTTCGCCACCTTCGACCCCCATCAGCATAGGCGTAGATCCCGGGGAGGGGGGAAGGGGATAATACCCCCAATATTTGACAAGGGGGGATGGTCCATTGTATCATCCCCCCCCCAATATTTTGACTATGTATGGGATAAAATGGAGTTTTACACACTTCAAAAGACTGTCACAGAAATAATTTGCACTGTCTTATGCGCTTACAAAGATGAAAATTAGCATAATGTATTAATGTTGATAACAAAAAATGATTTTATCTGGTACCAATCTAAGCTCTTCTTTCCTTAGATGTTAGATGTGCTTGAAAAGAGAGCCACATTTCACACTCAAGTGTGTACAACATCAGTATGTTATGTCAATTCCAAGAACGTTTAAGCTTATATCGGTTGATGAGGAATTTATTGATTAGGCCTATAATAGCAAATTGCATCAATTTATTTTGCAAAAACAAGAATTGCAGCTTCAGAGGTGGGCACATCCCCTGTCCGCACAAGGGCACATATTGGCGCCAACACCAGGCGCGTAACAGGGGTCTTGGGTCAGAGTGGGTATTTATTTTCCCGGTTAGTAATTTACCATGCCCACACCACCCCACCCCACTCCCCATATAAAAAACAATACGACATAGGGCTTATCTTATTTATAATATAGGCCACACACGTGTGTTTGAAACTAAATATAAGCTTTTTCATCATGGTTTTATTTATTACAAACATATTCTTTCACCATCAATACATATTGAGGCCCTTCTTTTTAGTTAAAACGATCTATCTTAAATTTGTCTTTCAAAATATTTTGTGTTTTTAATTGTAGTTTCGTCGGAATAATTGATGAAAACTCCCTAAAATGTGCAATTTATAGAGGAAATTGGCCTACCGTAACAAGAAATGCGAGCAAAGAGTTTCAAAATTTTAGGCACTTTCATAGGATGCATTTGTCAAGTGGTGGGGAAAGATTTTCCAAAGATGGATATTTTTCCTTGTCCCCCGGTGTTTTTAATTCTAATTTCGTTGGAATTGATAAAAACTGATTGATTAGGCACTTTCAGGGGATGAAAAGGGCATTTATAAAGGGGTGGGGAAGATTTTTCAAAGATGGATATTTTCCCCTTGTCCCCCATTGGTTACGCCATCGGGCAGCATAGATCAAAGGAGTTATGACAGTTTTTGAAGTGGAGAAGGGGTTGCAGGGTGTTGTGAGTCTGGTCACTATGATATCTTCCTTTTTATTCTTGTCTTTATTTTCCTCTTCTCTTTTTCTTTCCTTTACTTTTCCTCTTCTTTCTCTTTCCCTTAGTTTTTAACTTAAACTCGCATAACATTATGTTAGCCAATACTATCAAGAATGATTTCCGTACACTTCAACAGGGCCGCAATATCAAAAATCTGCATTCATCGAACGTTATATATCTCCTCATGTGCAATATATGTGATTATGGCTCTTATATAGGCGAGAGTGGAACTAAATTCAGATTCCGGTTTAACAACCACAAAGAGTCCGTCCGTAACAAGAGCAAGGGGTTCCCTGTCACCGAACATTTAACTCCTCTGGCCACTAATCCGATGTGTTCTGTTAGCTGACAATTTTCCATCTCTCGACCAGAGAAGACATTCAGAGCTCAAACTCATTATCAAATTATTTAATACTCACGTCTTAGGCCTTAATCGTGACATGTGTATCCTGAGTGATGAACATTTACATTCACACACACTTCACTTATTTTTATATCACCGTCACTATTTTTACTTTTCTTTTATTGTTTTCTCATTATTTTTAATTTCTTGCATATGATCTCTGCATTTGTACCTAGGCTTACCCGCTTTGTTTATATTGTATATATTTTAAATGGCTAATTATAATAATATTATATATTAGACCTATATTATCCAATATTTTTCTATTCTATTATATTTATCAGTATCTTTTTTTCCACCATGGTATTAGCTTACCCACTCGATATACAGTACATTGTTTTTCACACTTTATATTCATTATCCTGTTCCCACCACATACCATTACCCCTGCGTCTCCATTATTGTGTATCTAATTTAATCACCCTGCTTTATTTAATGCCGATTCTTTATTGTACATTACTGTCTGATCTAGTATTTGCCAACTTGTAATTGAAAAGACGAAATATTCGTTTCCTGAATATATATATACTGTCTCTTATAC